TCGTCGAGTAGGCCTTGAAACCAATTAAATTCTTATTTAAACAATACCTGGGAATCGGGGCGTTACATCGCGTCTCTCTCCTGCACACACCACGTTCAAGAGTTGGTCCCAAATGGAAAAACCTAGGAAATTTAGTAGCCTCTAACACTTCTAAGAAATTTGGATCATCCCTATTGATGTTTCGCGTCTCTCTCCTGCACACGCCACGTTCATCGATCAAAAACCCTAATTGTTTATGGTTTCAATTGGTGGTTGATCCAGACTTATCAAGGTTGCTTGATGTATCCCATGTGTATGACTACATTAAAGGGATTGTCTTTTGGATCCTAAGACATCTGATCAGCTACCTAGAGCGCGTCAATCAAATGCTACAAATGTAAGTATTTGTAACCCTTTATGGTTGTTTTAGTTTTGTTTCAATAGATTATGATTCCGTTGTGCGCATTTGTGGCATCTTTGATTGCTCGTAATCCAACAATTATTGCTAGTTAGTCATTTTATTAGGCGTTGGTCCCAATCGGTAAAAATTTGCCAACCAAATTAAAAGGTCAAAACCTAATAAAATAGTCAACAAAATTCAAAAAAAGAACTCCAATAATCAATAAAAACTTAAACACAAAAAACAAAAAAAAAAAACAAAAAACAAAAAACAAAATTAAAGACAAAAAAAAAAGTAAATAAAAAGCACTAGTTCTTACTTATCATTAGTTCACTTCCTCTCTATTATCTTCATAAAATCTACAACTTATTGTTTCTATGCACTTTCACATCAACGCCAATTATACACTTAATGTATGATGATTCGTGACTTAAATGTAATAAAAATAGATTATGTTTTTTTTATGGTTATTTACTTATTTTTTAAGATATTGGTAATATTTATTTATTTTTTAAATATTATTTTATAAATTAAGGTCTTCACTTAATCCTCGTCTATGTCGATTAATCCCCTAACCTCCAATCGACCGACTAGCTACCGTTGAACGCTTTTACAACATTGGTTGTACATGATCACGATGATCTTGTTTTCTTTACTGCTTAAGATATTTTATTCTTTTTTTTAGAACGGCGGGTTAGTATTTGCCTGTGATAGAACTCAGAACCTCCTTGTTAGTAACTTCTTGTTAGACACCTTGTGATATTTTATTCTTAATTGTTGTGTTTTGCATCTACAAGATTTATTGTTACCACTTAACAGTTAAAGTTGGTTCCATTATCGATATGTCTTAATGAATATCAAATTATAATGAGTAATATGCAAACAAGTCCTTACAAGTAAATCTTAAGACTTGTTCATTTTAATAGGATCTTTCTATCCTAATTCAATCTTTCGACGGTAATATGCAAACAAGTCCTTACAAGCAAATCTTAAGACTAGTTCATTTTAATAGGATCTTTCTATCCTAATTCAATCTTTCGACAATAATATGCAAACAAGTCCTTATAAGCAAATCTTAAAGACTAGTTCATTTTAATAGGATATTTCTATCCTAATTCAATCTTTCAACCATGATCATAAATAATATTTCGCTCTCGACAACTTTCCACTGACCACATAAATAGGAACATGGATTTTCGAATTCCAGATCCTACTGTCATTATTATAACAAAAGGGAGGAATCGATAATACTTGATATCTTCAAGGTCCAATTAATAAAATTGTTGAACTAAAAGACTCAACTTGGACTGTTGGTGAAATATTAAACTCCACGGGAGTCACCAGGTCAGCTCCCCTCCCATCGCCTCATATCCTCCAAACGCCCCCAGATTTGGGGTTAGTTAATTTAGGGTTTATAGATAGATCTGAAAGAAAAGACCACCACTCTTTCTTTACGTTTTACAATTCGAGAGTGTGTATTGAGTTCAAGATTTGGGGATACTTACAGGGGTTTCTATCGATTTAGTAGTTCCGCTGATTTGGCTAGGGTTTTTTAGTCTTGCTGTTTCATCACTGAAAATAGGAGAATTGTAGAAGTAGGGTATAATTTAAGGCGAGGACTTAAGAGCGAGAGGCTGTCGCCAATGCAAAATTGTTCGTTTTTTCAAAGAATTTTTCGGTGATTTTTCATATACCGAAAAGTTTGAATTCAATGTCGTGGGCAGGACCTGAAGATATTTATCTGTCAACTTCTCTTGCAAGCTATCTCGACAGTAAGTTCTTGATTTCGATTTACTCTTACATTCTCTTGATTTCACTCAGTTTGATGTTTTCCCTTTCTTGGATTCACATCTTTCTCGTGTTTTAAGCTCTGTAGAATTTACAGATGTTATGCATCTAATAAGTTATACCTTTTTTCTCACCAATTAAATCTTATCATCGTTTATGGCGTTAATGGAATGGGCATATTACTATCATAATTAGATTTCGGTTGTTTCATATGAATTACTCTGCTTTTTCTGCCCAATCTATTTTCTAGCTTGATGTTAATCGTTCAAGAAAATTAAACTATAGATATCGATATAAATGATAGACAATATGATTTGGTAATTAACGTCATTATTCTTAAAAAACAAAGAGAATATTGTTGATTCTTGTAACGATATTATTTACAAGTCTTATCTTGTACCAATTATATTTCATATTACTAAAGTTTGATAGTGTAATGCATCCTTTTATTGATCTTATTAGAAGTGCAAATTGTTATCTTACTAGAAACATTTTAATCAAAAATAAGGAGACAATAGTTTTCACAAAAAAAAGTTACTAACTTTATCATGTATAACGATGTAATTTTACCTTTTTGTACAGAGAAGCTTCTTGTATTGCTACGAGATGGCAGGAAGCTATTGGGGATACTTCGGTCTTTTGATCAATTTGGTACCAAATTCTCATTAATCATCAAAACTTTATTTAATAATCTATGATAATTAAACCTTACAAGTGAGTTTTTTTATTTTTTGAAATCTAGCAAATGCTGTTCTTGAAGGTGCATGTGAAAGAGTAATTGTTGGTGATCTTTATTGTGACATTCCATTAGGTCTTTATGTAATTCGTGGTGAAAATGTTGTCTTAATTGGCGAACTGGTATGCTGAATAAAATTTAAACATTTATTTATTTATTTATTATTATTACTATTATCATTATTATTGTTATTTTTGTTAATGATATGTTGACATGAAATGTTAGGAATTGGAGAAGGAAGAACTTCCCCCTCATATGACTCGTGTTTCAGAAACTGAGATAAAAAGGGTAACTGTTGCAATGTTGCTATTAAATTATTAATGTTATTATATACTTTTTTTTTAATTGTGTATATGATTAAAGAAAAAAAAAATATAAAAGAATATGAAATGTTGAGAGGTAATAATAATAATAATAATAATAATAATAATATGTTGTGTATAGGCTCAGAAGGTGGAGAGGGAGGCTTCGGATTTGAAGGGTACAATGAGAAAAAGGATGGAGTTTCTTGATATGGATTAAGGAGGAGGAGGAGGGGTATAATGGTAATTTGCTGTTTTTGTAACCATGTCTTCCGCAAATATTATCGCGGGTGGTGGATGATATGCTCTGGTTTGATTTGATTTGATCATCTGTTTTTTTTTTTCTTGTCTCTAATTATAAATTGCATAGTTTTTTTGTAACATTGTCAAGCCTTTGTTTTTAATTCCCTGATTTATGATGTTTAAATAATTATTATTATTTGTTTTGTTTGCATACATGAAGTGCCATTTTTACAGTAGGGGGATTGGGGCCTTAGGGGTTAAATAATTATAAAAAAGTAGCTTAAATGGGTTAAATTTAGGTTAAGTGTATTTCTAACGTATATAACATTTTAAATGATTTTTAAAAACAAAGTTATCGCTGTAGTATTAAACATATTAGTTATTAAATAATAGAAAATGCTTTAAATTGAGTAGGTAGAGAAACTTATAAGCTACAATATCTCAAATACCTCTCAGTAAGGTTAAATACAATAATGGTAAAACTTTATATTGTAGGTCACGTGCAAGAGTTATATTACTGTCATCGTAAGAGTGGATAAATAACGTATATGGCTTTCTTGTTATAATCATACTTTAATTAGGACTATATGTGTGAAAGTTTAGATGGTGAGTTGATTAAATGTTAAAAATGATTAATTACGAAAAAAGAAATATATATTTCAAATATTTGGTTTAAGCACCAATTTTTAGTAAGTTGCGAAAAAACATTAATTTTTGGTAAAATGTTTCAGTGTGAACACTGTTACCTGTAGAGATGAGAGTGGGTCCAAACCTGGACCGGTAGACCCAGACCCAGAAAACCCGGGAACCGGTTAACGAGATTTTGCAGGACCGAAAACCGGACCGGTATATAAGAAACGGTTCCGGTTCGATTACGGGTAAGGTACCGGGTAAAGTGGGTCTAGAATAGGAAAAACCGGAAACATCAGAGTGGGTCGGATGGAACCGGATAAAATGAGTCTAGAACCGGAAAACCCGGGAAAAACGGAATGTTTTGATAATTACTTAGTGATTGAACTTTGAAAATTTTCAACCTTGATATCTCAACTTTGAGGGACTGTAGATCATTAAATATTAAACCAAAAATGACAAACTTATAGTCTAAAATTATGTACAAACTCTAAACTACACATTGCAAAAAACTTCATGATAATTCAACTTCAAACAAATTAAATATGCATGTTTTAAAAGTTTACAAAATACAAAAATAAAGCTGAAAAACAGAAAATTCACAGCTTTGATATTCCGACTTTGAGAGACTATAAATCAATGAATATGAAATCAAAAATGTCAAAATTAAAGTCTAAAATCATGTACAAACTCTATACTATACTTTGGAAAAAAACCACATCCTATTCCGACTTTAAACGAATTAGATATGTATGTTTTAAAACTATCACAGAATATAAAAAAAGCTGAAAAATATAAAATTTTCAGCTTTGATATCCCGATTTTGAGAGACTGTATGCCAATGAATATAAACCCAAATGACAAAAACATAGTCTAAAATCATGTACAAGCTATAAATTACACTCTGGAAAAAACCTCATGCCAATTTGACTTCAAACGAATGAGATATGCATTTTTAAACTTTTCACAAAAATAAGTTTCGGTTCCTAACACGGTTCCGGTTCTTAAACCCGGTTTACCCGGACCCGAAACCCAGATTACTCGGAAACCGGATAGAGCCATTCTTTAAACCCGGGACCTGGACCGATTTTACATGTTCCGGTTCTAAACGGTTCAAATTCGGGTCTGATTCCGGTTCCAGTTCTAAGTCTCATCTCTAGTTACCTGTTATTTAAGTGTTCCCTGTTATGTGCTGGATTAATTACAAAAAAAAACATTATATTTTTTCAAAAGTTCGGTTTAACCACCAACTTATGGATTGTTTTTATTTAGCACAAATGCAAGTTATGACGATCACCATAGAATTTTTATCTAAAAATAAATGATTTTTTAGCACAAATGAAAATTAGGTGGTTAAATCTAAAAAAAATACCAAATATAGTGCTTTTTGGTAATTAGCCCAATGTTCAAATATGGACCTTATATATGAATTCTAGTCTAGCAATAATAATGCAATACGGTAAATTTATAATAGACAAAATTACAGAAATCGTCTTTATGGTTATTAGAAAATAAACTTCGAAGTCCTTTTGAAGAATTTTTTAAATGGTTGGACATTTTTAGATTTAAAAGCACATGATGGATCATTTTTGCCAACCACAAGAACCCATTGTTTGTCTTTTAAACCTACCTAAAAAGGACAAACATATTAGTCAAAAGGACCTATGGTGTGCGTTTTAAACCCGAAATCGGTCAACCATGTTAAAAAAATTTCAAAATGACTTGCAGTGGCATTTTTTATCAACCACAAGGACCATTTGTGTAATTTTTTTCTTTATAATAATACCTAAACAGGATGACCAAATGTAACAAGAAGAGATGGTTGTGAAGTATTAAGTTCTATTCCTACATTTATTTTGGTCAAAACAAATTTGAAAGATGAGGTGAGAGTATGAAGATCCTTGGGAGGTGATTTTAGTATATGAAGCATTTAGGAGTGAAATCAATGGGGTTAATTATCATTTAGCTCCTAAAAGGTATAACATATCTTCCAATTGAAGGTTAATTGTGAGTTTAATGACTTTGAGCTGTGATTCTCAATTGTGATTTGACGTCCAATACTTATTACAACTTAGATTCTAATACATTTTAAGCATTCGATACAATGATTACCACTCAAATCATCAAGATAGTGAAATAGTTGTTGAGATCATCCCATATTGCAATATGAACACCTTAATTACTTTTTTTAATAATTTTATTGGCTGAAATTGCATTGTTTTCCGAAAAATCTGATTATAATCAATTAATTATTGGTTGACTTTTTATAAAAGTGTCAATATGGTGTCTAAAGGGTGTCTTATTAGCAACACCTTTAACTAAATTATCTCCCATTTACAAGCTCCCTCAGATATTCCCTCCTATATATCTCTTTCTCCATCATATCTTTAACATCGGGAGAATGAAATAGTTGTTCCAAAAAAATGAAGAATATCATACATATTGATATGTTTTGTTTCTTGCATTCATCTGGATATCATTATGATCATCATTGTGGTAACATTGAGATCATCATAGTTATTCTAAGCCCCTTTGAGGAACACTAGACTATAGGGTGAAAAAGATAAGAAAAAATTAGATTAATTTGTTGGAATAGATTTCCAAAAAGTTGTTACATTTGATCAATACCCTTTTCACGCACATGAAAGGGACGTTCCCCTAAAAAAAGAAAAAGATATGATATACAAAATTTGTAATGATAGATATAAATATATTATTGAATCTTGGATATGGCCTACTCAACTGCCATTGCTTTGAATCACTATTGTATTTCTCGTTAAAGAAATAAAAGACATAGTTGGCTTAATAGTAGCTATGTTTTCCCTTAACAGTTAATATGGACATTAATTTTTACCCAAATATGTCCAATCATTCTGATAAAAGGTTTATGTCATGAAACTTTATGTCAAATAATTATAAATTCGATTTATACATCATAAAACTCCATTTTGGATAAACAAAGAAATGATAAACAACGTATTTACCATCATTCCTCATATTTCTTTAGAATTTTTATCAAAACAGGTTTAAGTTTTTATCAATTTAGGATCTACACTAGTGATTATGGAGTGTTTGGTGGTGATTTGGAAGAAGATAAAATGGAGTGAACATAATATCAGAGTATATTTGTCTTTTCATTAGCAGAAATTTTATATCAATGGAATCAGCATAGGCACTCTAAGCCCCATGGGGGGTGGGGGGACACTAGGCTATAGGCTGAAAAAGATAGAAAAAATTAGATTAATTTTTTGGAAGACCGTTTTGGCCCTCATAAAAGGGATGTGCCTCTTAAAAAGCAAAAGCTATGAAATACAAAATTTGTAATGTTAGATATAAAGATATATAATTGCATCTCTGATATGGCCTACTCAAATGTCATTGCTTTAAATCACCATGGTAGTTATTGTTTTCCCCTGAATAGTTAATATGGACATTAATGTTTACCCAAATGTGTTCAATCATTCTGATAAAAGGTTAATGTCAAGAAACTTTATATCAAATAATTATAAATTCGACTTATACAGCATAAAATTAAAACCCCATTTTGGGTATCAACCCACCTTTAACAAAGAAATGATAAACAACCTATTTACCTTCATCATTCCTCATATTTCTTTAGAGCTCTTTTTTTTTTTTTATTAAAATACGTTTAAGCTTTTATAAATTTAGGATCTACACCAGTGGACACTCCACATTTGTGACGGTGCCAAAAGACTGGATTATTTACAAGGTTGAAAGATGTCATAACTCATACCCTTATTTCCGTCCAATATGAGAATAGCTATATTATGCTATGTATTAACAATTCATAAATTTTTTTATAAAAAACTATAGCAGAATATTAAAAAGCAAATATAACATTAGGCTCTCGGTATAATATCCATTTGATGTGGCAGCCGCGTAGCCATGAGAAACCCGCATTCTAGGCACGTAGGCGAAGTGTGGAGTGGGCTTAGAATCGTCCATATAGTTTCGTTTTTTCTTATTAAATAGAAATCCTCAAAAGGTGTAGTGGGCTTAGAATCCTCAAAAGGAAGGGTTGATGAACAAAAGGATTCAGCGGTATTATTAAATATTTCTATTTTACACCTATAAATACTAACCAACTATCAATTAACATTTCCAAACTACAACCCTTTTCTCTATCCTATCTATCAGAGTAAACTACAAGAATGGTCCCCATGTTCCTAAACTTTTTTTTAATTGAACCGTCCATATAGTTTCGTTTTGTTTCGATTTTGGTCCCTAATCAAGATAAAAAGACTGCAGATTTAAGAGTATGATTAATAGGTGTGTGGGTTAGCCATTCTAAAAAAAATTACCAAAGGGTTTTTACAGGTGTGTTGGAAATGTTTCTCTCCCTAAGTGGTTGAGGTGTAGTGGACAAAAAATATAGATTTATGAGTAGAATTAAATGGTTGTGTGTGTTAAGCCGTTCTAGAAAATCAAGATAAAAAGGCAAATTTGCCCTTATTGATATTTTTTTTTTACTTTTTTATATTAGTTAATTTATTCAAAAATAATAAAATATGG